CCTTCTCTTTGACTGAGAATAAAGAAAATGGATATACTTTATAACACCACAGGTCAGTATATTGAATCATTAACATCACAACAAATTAGACTTACCATGCGGACAGGTGACAAACGCTCCTCTGAACTGCTGCCAAACAGATCCTCAGATTGTTCAAGATTTCTTTTTTGAGAAAGTGTTTTTTTTTGTCCCTCAATTACGTTTCTTGTACTTGCAGTCTCTCTATTTTTTGGAGCTTTTTCTTTGCCTAGAAAACAATGTATGGAAAGAGTTTAATATTTTCAATGCAAAGCATAGGTTTAAAACCCGAGTAGGGTTTTCATTACAAGTTAATATAGCCCAACTTTAAAAATAAAAAGCATACGTTTGATAGACCCAAACATAACATTAGCAAAAGCAAACATACCCTGTTCTGTATGTCTCACCTGACAAGATGTTTCTTCAGACCAGTCGCCATTTGCAGCGACACACGTGTCATCTATGGCCCAAATATTTTACCCAGGAGGAAAAAAAAAAAACAAGTTCTTGAAATACATCTGAAAAGGAACGATCGGTGAGGCATAAATATTTCATCGTGAAATAAAATTAACCTAGCAAGCTTAAGCTAACTTCAAATAGCAGCACTTTAGCAGCCTCTGTCCTGCTGGGTTCCTTTCGTGACCCACACTTAATTTCTTTTTTTTTTATATTTAGATTTTTATTAAGAAAAGGGTCACAACATTACAAAAACGTATCATCGATATTTTTTCATTTTGTAATCCTTCTTACATTTTAGTAATAATGTAAATTATAAAGAAAAACTAAATAAAATAAAAGTAAAAAACAAAACAAAAGGAAGCAGAACAAAACCAATGGGTGCCTAGAATTTCAATTTCTTACTTGTTACAACAAAAGGAAAACATGTTTTTACAATAAACATCAGATGCAATTAGAATCAAGAAAAGTCCTTTCGGGAGGGGGAAATAAAATCGATCCATTTGTTCCAAATTGCGTAGAATGTATCCATTTGTGTTCGTAAAGCGTATGTCAATTTTTCCATTTTGAATATTTCTAAAATTTTCTAGTAACAGATTTTTTACTTGCAGCCAAAAGAGCCTGCAGCAGCCTTATGTCTCCCCTCCGAACCAATGCTGGAGCCAAACCCAAATACAAACATGCAAAATCGTTAGATATTTGCTCCTGGAAGACCTTATTCAATGTTTTATGGACTCCCACCCAGTATTGTTTTAAAAGAGGACACTCCCAGAATATATGAAAGTGGTTTGCCTCCGAGGAACCACATTTTCTCCAGCACTCTGCTGTTTTGTTCCTAAATTTACTTTGCTGTGGCGATATAAAGTATCTTGTGACATTTTTCCAGCAGTGCTCCCGCCAGTTCAAAGAATTGGTTGAAGTCCATTGAAAGAGGCAGACCTCCTCCCAATCCCCATCAGAGATATTAATTTGTGCTTCTTGTTCCCACTTATTCTTAATGTGTGTGGTATTATCCTTTTTTGCATTTAATAATCCATTGTATAACTTTGAGATTGCCTTCCTTATCGAATCACTGTGAGCTGATTTTAAGATCTTGAAGAAGTCTGCCTCCACTGCTGTTAGGTTTGAGTTTTTACAATGTTTGTTGTAATAATCCCTCATCTGGAGGAACCTGAAGAAATCTGCCTGCTCCAAACCAAAATCTGATTGCAGGGACTGAAAGCTGCGCAATGCTCCCTTGTGTGTGAATGAGAGGTATGTAGTTAATTGTTTCTCAATCCAGGCGTGGAACCTTTTATCAGTTTTGTTCGGCTGGAAATCTGAATCATAAGCGACCCAACGAAAGTTGTTCAGAACACCACCAATGTCACAAACTCTGGCTACTTTATGCCACACTTTTAACGTGTGATCAATCCAAAAGCTTAAACCTTCCACCTGCTCAGCCAGGTGGTTGTCCGCAATCACTGCTGATAAAGGGATTTTTGATAAACTAGTTTCTATTGTCTTCCAATTGGCTTGGTAGTGCGGGTTACACCAATACAGTATAGTAATAATCTGCGAAGCATAGTAATAATACTGTAAACATGGGAGTGATGCTCCACCTCTAGCTTTTTGTAATTGTAGAACATTACATCTGATTCTCGGTTTTTTCCCCTGCCATATAAAGCGAGAAATCCACTTGTCCCATTCCTTAAACTGACTCTCACTCACAATAATTGGTAGTGTTCTGAACAAGTAAAGCAGGCGCGGGAGTATATTCATTTTGACTGCAGTAATTCTTGAATTTAGATTAAGAAACGGGACAAGATTCCACCTCTGAATGTCAGATTTAATTGCTAATGATAATGGATCGTAGTTTAATTGGAATAACTTAGAAAAGTCCTTAGTTAGATTTATACCCAAGTATTTTAGAGATACTGCCTCCCAATCCAGATTGTATTTTTCCTTAAGAGGTTTTGAAACACTGTAATTGAAAGCCATTACTTGAGTTTTGGATACATTTAGCTTGTAACCAGACATCCTCCCAAAACTATTTAGCAAATACATCAACCTCACAAATGATTCCCCAGGCTCCTCCAGAAACACTAGGACATCGTCTGCAAACATTGCCACTTTTTGTTCTTTCTCTGCCACCTTTACCCCCTTTATATCCTCAGATTGTCGTATCCATTGACCCAGAGGCTCAATGTAGAGTGCAAATAGCAGGGGAGAAATCGGACATCCCTGTCTCGTTCCCCGCTCCAGAGGAAACGAGCCAGAGACATCTCCATTTATCTTTACCCGGGCCATCGGCTTACTGTAAAGGGACATTATTATAGAAATGAAGTTATCATCAAAACCAAACCCATTCAGTGTCTTATAGAGAAATACCCATCTGACAGAACCAAAGGCTTTTTCAGCATCCAATCCTACCAGGACCGCCTTTGACTTGTCCTTGTTGATCTGTCCAATCACATGTAAAGCGCGCCGTATATTGTCTGAGGTCTGTCTCTGTTGAATAAAACCACATTGGTCAAGATGAATTAGTGCAGGTAGAACTTTTTCCAACCTTCTTGCTATTATTGCTGTGAACATTTTATAATCTAAGTTGAGTACACTAATTGGACGATAACTGCTGCAATTTTGCTTATCCTTGCCTTCCTTTGGTATTACAGAAATAATAGCCTCGTTCCACGATGGGGGAATTCTTCTATTTAATATAATCCAGTTAAAGGTGCGAAGTAGAACAGGTGACAATTCTTCTTTAAATGTTTTATACCACTCAGTGGTGTAACCGTCTGAGCCTGGTGCCTTCCCAGCCTTTAATTTAGAAATAGCCAGATTAAGTTCATTGACTGTTATAGGTTGCACCAGTCCTGCATTTTGAAAGTTTGTTAATTTTGGTAAATGTAATGTTTTCAGAAAATCTTCTATATTTAGCTCATTAGATAATCGGGGTTGTGAATACAAGTCTTTATAGAATAGTTCAAAACTCTCTTGGATCTTTTCAAGTTTATTTTCCACTGTTTTAGTAAATGGGTGTTTTATTTTGTAAATTGCACTTTCCACTCTCTGCTTACGTAGCTTGTATGCTAGTAACTTGGCTGATTTACCCCCGATTTCATAATATTTTTGTTTGAGAAAGACCATTTTTTTCTGAGTGTCCTGTAAGTAAATGTTGTCAATTTCACTCCTGATCCCTTTAATTTCCTCTTTTATCCTGCTATTACCACTACTGCTATCAACCTGTTGTAATCGTTTTAATTTTCCTTGAAGATCAGTTAATTTTTGTGTCCTCTTTTTTTTTAAATGAGAAGTTGGTGAAATAACCTTTCCTCTCATTACTGCCTTTAAGGCGTCCCACAACATGATCTGTGACACTTCACCGGTGTCATTCAAATCCAAATAGCTTTTGATGTCTCCCTTCAACTCTTCTCTCAGTTTTGGATCATTGAGAATATTTGTGTTTAACTTCCATAATACTCTTCTAACCTTTTTTTCTAAGACGACCGATAAAGAAATAGGGCTGTGGTCTGAAAGGTCAATTGTCTTGATCTTACAGTCTCTCACTCTGTGAACATCATTCTTGAACATAAAGAAATAGTCTATTCTTGAATAGACACGGTGAGGGCATGAGTAGTGAGTATAATCTCTACTCCTAGGGTATAGTTCTCTCCAAATATCAGTGATTCCCAGTTCTTTCATCAATGAATTAACCTTTTTAGTTAGAGTATTTTCTTTATTCTGTGGGTTTGAAGCATCCAATTTTGGATACAACTTAATATTGAAATCTCCCCCACAAATAACTATACCCTGGGAATTCACCATAAGATCAAAAACTTGCTTGTACAGAGACCAGTCACTTCCTGGTGGAATATAGGCATTAATCAATGTTATTTCAAATCCCTCAATTTTTCCAAAAACCCTTATGAACCTTCCTTCCTCGTCTTGTGTTTCCTCCAAATGCTCGTAATTTAGGGAGTTCGAAATTAGTATAGCAACCCCTCTCCGGTGGCCTGATTTGTAGGAGGAAGAGAATACAGATTTAATACCTTGCCTTTTTAGTTTAGCATGTTCAGATTGGCTCAAATGAGTCTCTTGAAGAAAAGCTATTTGTGCCTTTTCTCGTTTTAATTTGGTCAAGATCCTACTCCTTTTCACCGGGTTAAGTACTCCGTTAACATTAAAGGAAACTATTTCAACCGGTTCTCCCAACATAACTGTTTGATTTGTGCTCTATTTCCTGTAAGCATTCCCCATTACACAAAACACAGTGCAAAACAATAAATACCCACACATAATAAAAATGAACAGAACAAACCTTAACAAAATAACAAAACCTGTCTTTAACTTCCCAACCTGAGGTCCTTTTATTGACCTGTTGGTTAGAGGGATAGCCTCTACACCCCGAGTGTGCCAGAGGGCCCTCCTCCACTGTGACTGCAATCACCAGTGTCCTTGTCCTCCTTCTTTTGACCAAAAGTTTAAAAAATCCTTTGTTGTATTAACCTCGTCATCTTTTAGAATAGTTATTGTGAAAAGTAACTTCAGTCATTCTCCTTCGATGAGATTCGACGGAATGCCTGCAGCTTTTCTTTAAACCCCGTGGCGTTTGCAGCAGGGTTTCTCCTCTTGGGCCGCGCTGGTTGCCAGGCTGCTTGTTGTACTCTCTCCCACAGCGTGTCTGGCCCCTCGATCACCTTCACCGAGAGCCCTCGACTCGCCATGTCCGCTGTTGCCTCCTCCGTTGAATTGTAGGTCGTTTCCCCCTCTTCGTAGTGCACTCTCAAGCGGGCTGGATACAACGTTTGAAAGCGTATGTTTTTTGCCTTCAACACTCGTCGCGCTTCTGCATACGCTTTCCGTTTCATTAGAACTGCGGGTGCGTAATCATGATCCAGACTTATCTTATGTCCATCCAGAATAAAACCTTTCTTTTGCCATGCAGATCGAATCACTTCTTCTTTCACTCGGAAACTCAGGAATTTGACCAGGATAGACCGCGGTTTAGCATCTGGGGGGGGCTTGGGGGCAAGCGCTCTGTGTGCCCTCTCTATCTGCAGGTTTACGGAGGGGGGGATTTCAAGCTTTTCTCTTAGCAATTTATCAACAAACGTTATCATTGTCTTAGAATTGGTATCTCCTGTTGCTTGTTCGGGAATGCCGTATATTCTGACATTATCTCTCCGCGACCTGCATTCTTGGTCTGTTAGCTTATCCTGCAGTTGTTCTTGAATCTTTAGCATTCCCGTAATTACGTCTTCCACAGCTTGAAGCTTTTCTTCGTTCCCCACAATCCTTTTCTCCGCTTCATCCAGCCTCAGATTTGTTTTAGCGAATTCCTGCTTAATCTCTTGCCTATATTCGCGTATTTCTTTCAATATTGTGTTGTTTGACACTTCTTCCTCACCCATGCTTTCATCTCCGTTCCCTCGGCTAGCCGCGGGGGGGTTAGCATTAGCTTCATCCTCGTGTGACTTTTCTCCAAAGTCATTCTCTGCAGGTATGATAGATTTTCCTCGTCTTTTTGGAGGTGACATCGCTTCCCCTCCTTAGATGATCGCAGCAGCAGTTTTCGTGGTATTTCTTTGACTTTTACGGGGTTATTTCTCACTTTTGGTCAGGAGCTCACGCTCTACGCAGCCATCCCTAAGTAACCCGGAAGTCCTCCCCCTCGACCCACACTTAATTTCTATCCAATTGTCGTCGTCTAAATCGGGCTGGGAGGTTACCTGCTTGAATCTTCCTGAACTCTGTTCTGATTGGCAAGACCAACTGTTCTGATTGGCTGATAGTTACAAAGCTGCAATGAATGCAGCACCTGATTGGACAATCATATTTTAGTCGCGGATCATTGGAGCGGATGCCTCCATAGTTAGCAGCTATACATAGTTCCCACATGACGTCACTACATACGGGGATTTGCCGACCCGGCGCCATTTGTGTTGGCATGCTGTGGGCAAAACAATAGAAAAAGAAGCTGAAACGTGTTAATGTCGTGATAAAGTTGAAAATGGTCATCTCCTGCTGGGTCAATGGATGTTCTAATCGTGCCGGAGGTTCCGTTAAACTTGGATTTTACAGTATACCCATCATTAGACTTCATGAATGTGAGAAGACTAAGCTTTTGTCAGAACAACCACGGAGGTTATGGCTTGCGAAGATAAACAGGAAAGAAACTCCCTCAAAACACGCCAGAATATGCTCGGAGCACTTTGTGTCAGGTGCGTATCGTATCTTATAATGTGTTGACAGACGTAATTTACTCAGTACTAACTTGTGTATGCTGATATCTGGTAACTTGAGAGTTTCATTATTTAGATTACTTTATTATGAGGAGGATCGGTGTCGCGTCCGAGGCTCTCGAGGGCAACGTAAATGTATTAAATAGATAATAATAGTTCTATGGTGGGCTAAAACAATGTTCACAAACAGCATTGCTTCTGTAAAAAGATCTGTGTCATAAAATAAACTGCTCTTTACGCCTGGAAAAATCAGTTGCCCACCATTCACCAAAACATACGGTCAAAAACGCGGAAATAAACAATAACAGCAATCCAGAGTGTCCGTGTGGCATTAGCATTAATTAAATTAATTGTTAATATAATTAAAATAATTAAATGGAGCTCCAACTGGTATTAAATCTAAAGTTTTTGAGAAATGTTTGCATTGCTTGTTAATTTTTGCTGCATAATTTGATCAAATATGTAAAACATGTCCGTAGCACGTTAAACTGTGGTGCCATTGTATTAATATACAATTATTTGCTCAAAAGTTGCCCTTTTTTTTCAATTTGCGTTTGAATATCTACATTTATTCTCATTCTTCTGTTTAATGGAATGCACAAACACAGCAGCGTGCCATCAAAGATGGCGTCTCCGAGGAGGTCATGTGACATTCATTGGTCTGTGGGAACTATGTATTCATTCTGGTTTAGTTTATGATCGTTTCACACATGCTAGGGTTTTGTATCATTCATATTATAACACAACTCTTGAAAAAAGAAATAACTCTGTTGTACAGCTGAATGATGAAAGGTTTTGTGACATTTTAACACTAATAGATTTTACATCTGAAAATGGATTGTCAGGTCAAGCTTCTGTTTTAGTTAAAGCTGAGTAAAACTGATCATGTTTGGAGAGACAGCTGAAGATATCTTCTACATTTATTACTGAAGTGTTAAGAACCAGCAATGTATTTGCTGTTGATCCTTGAATGTTTGGATCCTTGAATAAATTGTTTGTTGTTCCTCTGCCAAATAATATTGAAAGAGATTAAAAGTAAGGAAATGCAAAGTATCTTTTTTGCCAGATTAACAACATATTAATAGTTTATTTTAGTCTTAGTGTAAATGAAAAATATATATATATATATATTTCCTTCTATCTCTCAACAGCTGTCAATCCAACACTATTGAATTTGCTGTGTACTAAAATCAAGTGTATTTTCTCTTACATTCAAGTATACTACCATAAAATATATTTAGAATACAAATCTGTAATGTATTTATGATATATTTTTCTTGTACTAAAATTAAGTGTAGTTTTCTTAAATACATTTTAAGTATACTCCTGTGAAATATATTTAAAATACAGATCTGTAATATATTTTAAGTATATTTTGAGCGTAATAAAAATTAATATATTATTTTTCAAATATATTATAATATAATAAATAATAAATGTATTTGGAGTACTTCTCTAAAATACACAATTAGTAAACTTTAAATATACTTGATTTAAATATAATTTAACAAAATATGTTTACAATGTATTAGTTAGAAATGGAATACACTATAAGTATATTTAAATGTATATTTTTTTCACTTGGGGTGAGAGGTCATTCTCCTACGTCATCGCCGCTATTTTGGCGCCCCCTAGCGTTTGTTAAAAGGTGCCACTTCAAAGCCGTTTTTTTAACATAATTCTGAACATGTCAAAATGAACACCCGAAATATTATAAACACATATTGTAGTTATATATTCTGGATAGCAGCATTTTAAATTCTAGTACTAGTTTAAAGATAGATCATGTGAAAGCTTTTCCAACGACGATCATATTGGTACTTGTAGCCTGTCTGACACGAGTTAAAGTGCAGTTTATTCCAGCATCACTAACACAGTGGACTGAATAAACTTCAGGGTGCGTAAAATTTAAGAGAGAGGGAGAGGAGGGCCTCGCAGTACCTACAAGGGTTGACGATATCCGGTGGTGCCACCACAAATGCAGTCTCAGCGGATCATTGACAGTGTCCAGTTTAAAGTAGAGGTGTAATTGCCAAAGTGTCCACTAGATGGCACTCTCGCAAACTGAATACAGCCGCAAGTAGCGAAGGAGAAGTTTTTGTTTTCAGTTCCAAATGCACAATGGCCACAGCCACGCAGCTCTGTGGCTCAAAGAGGAAATGTTTATAACAACTTGCAGCCCTCGATAAGCGGAGCGAGGTAAATGTTTTATGTGTTTGTAGGTGTTTGGGAGATATCATTTAGTTTATGAATGTATTTTGTACCTACATGCTACTTATTTGATATGTACTGTGTTTCTCTGTACAGTTTTCACGGTGAACATGAATATGGTGTTATGTCCATAAAAAATAATCACACCCGTCGAAACTTTGTCCTGCTTGTAACCTTGGGGGCCAGCAATAGTGAAAACTCGACCGAACCAGTGGACCTGAGAGACACGTCGCCAGTCAAGCTAAAGCCTGCTAATGCTACAACTCAGCTACAACTCACCGGCCGCCATTTTGAGTCCATAACCAGTCACAAGAGTAAAGCCACAAAGGCAGTGATAAAGTGAAGGTCAACATGTCAAATCCTGCTGATGAAAATAATGACTCAGAACAGACAAGATCCAGTAGACGTGAGCGTAGCTTTACAGAAAAAGGCAAAGAAATGCATGAACAGGAAATAAAGAAAAACGAAAAAGTGTTTAATAAAGTTTATGAAACTTGGAAAGAACAAGCAAAAGAAATACGAAAACAGCTAAAAGGTTTCTGTTCTCCTGAGGAACTTAACGATGCCAGCCACAGTATAAGAGCTCAGCAAGATTTAGTAAAACAAAGCTATGAGCCCATTCGTCGCAATCACTCTATGACTCAAGATGTTGTTAAAAGAATGGACGCATGCACTGTAATCTCAACTGATATTTGTGAGCTCATTCAGAAACGACTCGAAACTGTTGAAGAATCTTTCAATGACCGGCTGGAGAAAGAAAGAGTCAGGATAATACTGAACAAACAACAATATGGCTCAATATTTGGAGAAACAAAATCGGAAACCGCCACTGTTTCAGAAGCTAAATCAAATGCTAAGTCAAACGCTACCAGTGCAGTGGCTGAAGCTGAACTTGCCGCTAAAATTGAGCAAGCTAATGTAACAAGGGAAATACTCGCACAAGAAGCTAAACTAAAAAAACTAGAGAGTTATTGGAAAATGAGAGAATTTCAAGCTAATTCTGCACTCAAAAGGCAAGAAATGGAAATGCAAGCAAAGGTAGAGGAGGAAAAAATGAAACTACAACAGCTGAGGGCAGACAGTGAGGTAAAGGTGGCAGCAGCTAAAGTAAAAGCTTACAACGCTATTGATGGGTCACAATACATTGATGTGTTAAGCCACAACTCAGATAGCCCAATAAAGGATAACACTGCAAATCAGCCCTCTCTTAACCTCCAGGCACCACCATTTCAGCCTTTCAGCACTCTCTCAGGCCAACAAGAGCTCAGTTTGGCTCAAACACTTGCAAGCTCCCTCACTCTGAACCGCCTGCCTGTACCTGAACCCACCATTTTTAGTGGTGATCCCCTAAAGTTTATGGACTGGAAAATATCCTTTATGGTACTAATAGGCAACAAACCATTACCTGTGTGTGAGAAAATGTTGTATCTGAAAACGTATCTTGCAGATGAAGCAAAGAAGGCGGTAGAGGGGTATTTCTTTCGTAACTCTGATCAGGCATATCAGGGTATTTGGGATGTACTAGAAGAAAGGTACGGCAGCCCATTCATAGTTCAAAGAGCCTTCCGAGCAAAGTTAATGAAATGGCCCAAAATAAATGCGAATGAGCCTCTAGCACTTAGAGAGTTTGCAGATTTCCTACTGAGTTGTGCTGAAGCCATTCCCCAAGTCAAAGGTCTAGATATTCTTAATGATTGCGAGGAAAACCACAAGCTTCTAAAGAAACTACCCGACTGGATTGTGAAAAGATGGAGTCGCATTGTAGTAGACGAATTGGAAAAAAGTCAAGAATATCCCAGCTTTACTCATTTCACAAACTTTTTGCAAAAGGAAGCTAAAGTTGCATGCAATCCCATTGCCTCCCCATTCTTAATGAATGAAAAAGCTTCAGAAGAGAGAATAATAAAGCGAGCTAAAGCACTCAACACGACTGCCCAAGTCAAATACAATGCACCTCCAGTAACGACAAAGCCTAAACCACCATGTTTGTTTTGCAGTGACGAGTCCCACGGCATAGTTAAGTGTCCCAACTTTGCAGCAAAGGCAAGTGATGAAAAGACAACATTCATTCGAGAAAATCATCTTTGCTTCGGATGTCTCAGAAAGGGCCATGTCACCAAAGAATGCAAAGTGCGCCACTCTTGTGGTAAGTGTGGTCGACGCCATCCAACATGTCTGCATACAGAAAGGTTAATGGAACCAAAACCAAAGGAAACTAAGAACTCAGAAGAAAGTACTAACAAGGAAGAACACAAGGCCATGTCTCATGTTTTGACAAGGAAAACGTCTGCCACATCCAGCATAGTACCAGTCTTTGTGTCAGCTGCCTCACAGCCTCATAAAGAAATACTTACTTATGCCTTACTTGATACCCAGAGCGATTCGTCCTTTATTCTAGGTGAGTTAGCCAATGAGCTTGAAGTGGAATCCAGACCAGTGCAGTTAAAGCTAAGTACTATGACCTCTGTTGACACTGTTGTAGCAAGTAAGCTTGCTTGTAACTTAAAGGTGCGTGGTTTTAACTCAGATACCCATGTACGAATTGATCAAGCTTACTCAAGGGATTTTATCCCAGTTGACAAGTCACATGTTCCCACCAGAGAAACTGCACTGCAGTGGCCACATTTAAAAGGTTTGGTTAACAAAATGAAACCATTACAAGACTGTGATGTGGGATTGTTAATTGGTTATGACTGCCCATCAGCCTTAGCTCCCCTAGAAGTTGTTACAGGTCAAGTAAATGAGCCTTTTGCTCAAAGAACAATATTAGGTTGGAGTATTATTGGGTCAGCAAATCCCCACTTGGACAGACACAACAACCAAAGCTTTGTGCATCGTGTAACAGTAAAAGAAATGCACACGCCATTAGCTACAGATGTGCTTAAAGTTTTGGAATCAGACTTTAATGAAAGAAACTATGAAGACAAATATGTATCTCAAGATGACATTCGTTTCATACAACTTTTGAGCAACACAATTGTGCAAAGGCCTGATGGACACTACGAAATGCCACTTCCTTTCAAAGATGACCATCCACCATCCCTCCCAAACAACAAGAAGCTTGCCACTGTGAGACTGCAGCATCTAAAGAAAAGGTTAAAGGCTGACAAACAGTACCATGAACATTACACAGCCTTCATGAATGACACCATAAAGAATGGTGATGCAGAACTAGCTCCCCTTGTGTCTGAGAGTGAAAATGTGTGGTACATCCCACACCACGGGGTGTACCACCCGAAAAAACCTAGAAAGTTGAGAGTGGTCTTTGATGCTTCTGCAAAGTATCTAGGCATCAGCTTAAATGACACACTCCTCACCGGCCCTGATATGACAAATTCTTTAGTGGGAGTTTTGTGTCGCTTTAGAAGGGAATCGGTGGCAATCATTTGTGATATACAGAAAATGTTTCACCAGTTTTTTGTTACTTCAGAGATGCGCAACTACTTGAGATTCCTCTGGTGGGAAAATGGAGAGCTGGACACAGAGCCCAAAGAATACAGAATGACTGTCCACCTATTTGGTGCTGGCTCCTCACCTGGATGCGCTAATTTCGGCCTGAAGTATCTTGCACGGCAACACAGATCTGACTACCCCAAAGCCTCAGCCTTTGTTGAAAATTGCTTTTATGTTGACGACGGGTTGATGAGCGTCCCATCAGTCAGAGAGGCCAGAGACCTCATAGCTGAGTCCCAAGAACTGTGCAAACTGGCAGGCTTGCGTCTGCACAAGTTCAATTCAAGCCATGCAGATGCTCTTTCACATCTCGAGTCCTCAGATAGAGCAGACACTGCCAAACCGCTCAATCTCAAACCTGACACACACTCAGACCACGTGCTTGGTATACAGTGGACTATCACAAATGACACTTTCAGCTTTAATACCAGCACAAAGGAGCAGCCTCCTACCCGCCGTAGTGTACTGTCAGTTATCTCATCCCTGTTTGATCCACTTGGGTTTGTAGCTCCTTTCTCTCTGAGTGGAAAAACCATCCTCCAAGAATTATGCCGCAGGGGTATTGAATGGGATGACCCCATTCCGGAGAACTTGTGCACACGGTGGGAGGAATGGAAAAGTGGTTTGCAAAGTTCAAAGATGGTCTCTGTCCCCCGATGTTACCACCCTCCTGATTTTGACAACATTGTAACAGTAGAATTACATCACTTTAGTGATGCGAGCAATGTAGGGTATGGGGCATGCTCGTATTTAAGATACAAAAACAACAAAGACCAAGTTCATTGCAGCCTAGTGATAGCTAAAGCAAGGGTCGCACCCACAAAAGTCACAAGTATACCGCGACTCGAGCTTTCAGCTGCAGTCACTTCAGCCAAACTAAGTGTAATGCTTAAATGAGAGCTCGAAATGCAGATCAATGAAGAACACTTCTGGACTGATTCTCAAGTGGTACTCGCTTACATTAATAATGAGGCGCGTAGGTTCCATGTGTTTGTCTCAAACCGTGTTCAGTTTATACGACAAACAACAGATCCTAAACAGTGGCATTATGTCAGCACAGAACAAAATCCCGCTGATCATGCCTCCAGAGGGCTCAGTGCAGCAGACATCACTTCAACTAACTGGTTATCAGGCCCAAAGTTCCTGTGGGAGCCAGATATCCCATATCCATCAAACACGACACTCGAACTGTTAGTTGGTGATCCAGAAATAAAAACAGTCAAAGTGCTTGCAACTCAAGTAAACAAAGAAAGTGACATTCTGAGCCGTCTCACAAGATTCTCGAGCTGGTCAATGCTTCTCAAAGTGATTGCTAGGTTAAAGCGACTCAAATCAAACAAAAATCAGCAACCCAACTTTGTAACTGTAGAGGAAAGAAAGGAAGGCGCTGGCCTCATTGTCGGCCTTGTGCAGCAAAAGGCTTTTCCCCAAGAGATTGAAAGGCTGAAGGTGGGAGAAAACCTTCCCAGTACAAGTCCCCTCTTCAGATTAGACCCTATATCAGACAATGGACTTCTTCGTGTTGGAGGCAGATTAAAGAAATCCACACTGAGTCAAGGACTGAAACATCCCATCATTCTTCCAAAAGGCCATCACATAACAAAGTTGATAATGTCACACTTTCACTCTGAGATTTGTCACCAGGGCAGAAGCCAAACATTAATGGAGCTGAGAGCGAATGGATTTTGGGTGATTGGTGGAAGTAAGGAGGTCGCAAAGCACATAAACAAATGCGTGCAGTGTCGGAAGTTAAGACGCCCAACAGAAGAACAACGAATGTCCGAACTACCAAAGGAACGAGTTGAGATCTCAGAACCATTTATGTACAGCGGTATGGACTGCTTCGGCCCGTTTGTCACAAAGCAAGGCCGCAAAGAGCACAAAAGTATGGACTGCTGTTCACTTGCCTCTCATCCCGCGCAGTTCACATAGAAATGGTTGAAGATCTATCCACAGACACATTCATTAACGCATTGAGATGTTTTATCAGTCTAAGAGGAGCTGTTTGCAGGTTGTACTGTGACCAAGGCACAAACTTTGTGGGGGCGAAAAATGAACTCAAAGAGACACTAAAGCAATGTGACATTAATGCCCTTGAAGCGTTTTTGGCTGAAAAACAATGTGAGTTTGTGTTTAATGCTCCATCTGCTAGTCACGCAGGAGGCGTTTGGGAGCGCCAGATCCGAACAATCCGAAATGTTCTCAATGCTTCCATCTCTCAGTGCCTAGGAAGATTGGATGATTCTTCTCTTAGGACACTTTTCTATGAGGCAATGTCAATAATAAATGGACGACCACTGAGTGTTGATGCAATAAATGACCCAAAGTCACCTGAACCACTCACTCCAAACCACCTCATACTAATGAAATCCAAAGTTGCTTTACCTCCACCAGGGAAGTTCATAAAGGAGGACTTGTATGCAAGAAAACGGTGGCGTAGAGTGCAATATCTCACTGAGCAGTTCTGGAGTAGGTGGAAAAAGGAATACCTTCTGAACATCACCACAAGAAAATGGCATGTACCACGTCGTAACCTTCAAGTCAATGACATTGTTATTATCAAAGAGGAAATGCTTCAAAGGAATCAGTGGCAACTCGGACGAGTTGTAGAAGCTCTCAAAGAAGATGATGGACTAGTGCGCAGAGTGAAGATCCAAACAGGCATTAGGGATCTGTCTAAGAAACAAGTCACGCCACAGAAGCCTCACATAATTGAACGGCCTGTGCAAAAGTTAGTAGTTCTTGTTGAAAGTAATTAAGAGTAAGAAATGTATTGTTTGGTTCCAAGCTTACGCTAAATGTAATGCTAAAAGAGTTTTGTTTTTGTTTTTTTCTGTCAAGCATTGGTAAATAATTTAAATCACATATATTATAAAGTTAATATACATGATTTGGTGGGAGTGTAATTGCCAAAGCGTCCACTAGATGGCACTCTCGCAAACTGAATACAGCCGCGAGTAGCGAAGGAGAAGTTTTTGTTTTCAGTTCCAAATGCACAATGGCCACAGCCACGCAGCTCTGTGGCTCAAAGAGGAAATGTTTATAACAACTTGCAGCCCTCGATAAGCGGAGCGAGGTAAATGTTTTATGTGTTTGTAGGTGTTAGGGAGATATCATTTAGTTTATGAATGTATTTTGTACCTACATGCTACTTATTTGATATGTACTGTGTTTCTCTGTACAGTTTTCACGGTGAACATGAATATGGTGTTATGTCCATAAAAAATAATCACACCCGTCGAAACTTTGTCCTGCTTGTAACCTTGGGGGCCAGCAATAAGAGGACAAGGTCCGCTAAATAGCGGGGACATTCCCAAGTGGGAACAAGGTCTGGCTATAGTTGATGGTCAGTATACCAGTGGATGTGGACATTCTTGGATGCAGATTAGTGCCCAGTCAGGGAGTCCCAGGTGCTAGAGCAGACACAGGTATAAACCTTGCTCGGTGTAGCGATACAGACATTGATAAGATAAGATAAGAATTCCTTTATTCGTCCCACAGTGGGGAAATTTCGATGTTGCATCGCACATATAGGACAGTAGTAAGAGCACACAGGGAGCACACACAATATATACACTATATACAAATAAGTTGCACAGAAGAGCTTTATGGTGATTTCATACACAAATATCACTTCACAAAAATAACATTTCATCAGTGTTATACATCATTGATCAGAGACTGGGTTGAGGTCAGATGAGCAGGGGGAACTAGTATTTCTCATCCTTTAGGCCGTTGTTGGCAATCCATCGTGTGGATTACGGATGCCTGAAAGAGGAAAATCATGGTTTCTTAAAAGATGCAAGCCTCTACTTGTACCACAGCAAGTATTACCTTTAGTAATAGCGTCAGGGTGGAGGATAATGACTTTGCTGGTTCAGCCACCGACCCATCTTTCCATCAATGTAGCTTGAGTCCTGGATCAATAGCCTGTCCGTCTGTGGGAGCAGATTCCTCTCTTAATCTAGACCTCCCAAGGTTTTTCACTTTTCCTACTGGATTTTAGAGTTGTTCCTTACCGATGCAGGAGTCTGTTGTGACCAAAAGAATATATATATATATATATTTTTTTTTTTTTAAATAAAAGACAGATGAACATTTATGACAGGTTGATTTTTGAGGTAACAGGATAAAAACTGGGCTAAAAAGAAGCACTGAAAGAAGGCTAAAAGTGTTAAAAACCCATTAAAAAAGCCCAGGGGGTCCCCCATTCCGGCTGAGGCAGCAGGGGCCACAGCTCTTACCTTCTCCTGGTGCAGCAACATGACGCAAGGTCATGAGGGATCCGCGCATTGCTGCCCTTGCCGTCAGCCTCTCCAGGGTTTCAATTCTAACTCCCCTTTTATGTGCGTGTCTTGTCTGGGTTTGCTGTTCCGCTTCAGCTGGTGGATCTCCGCTCACCCTGGAGGCCGGACCACGGCTTCAGACCACCTGTCCCTTCCGGACCCTCTCCGTTTCTTTCCTCCTGGTGGTTGCGCCCGCCCCAATTTATAGTCTTGTGGAGTATACTTGAAAAGTATGAGGCAGGAGACCGTGTCTTGTGACCTCAACTTAGCTCTCCTTTATTTATTTCTTTCAGCTACACACCATTAGCATATGTGACCGCAGGGCCCTGGTATAATGGTGGGATGCAACAAGTAATTGACCAGACACAAATTATACAATTTCGAGCAATTTATTTGGAAAATGAGACCTAAGAAATAGGAAAATATATGTTTTTATTTCATTGTATTAAATGTAATCATTAAAAATATCAATTATAAAATATGTGCGCCAATGCTAACCAGAAAGAAAGAAAGCAACACTCAGGGCTGGCCAGTAGCGGCCGTACACAATGGAGGACTAAGGGGCTGGAATAGAGCACTCACTACGCTCCGTGCCACACATTCATACACACACCAAATCAAGAAAAGAGGCAAACTGAAAATGTACAAGTGGTGAAGGGAGGTGCAAAATACCACGGCATTCAAAAGGAGTGATGGTGCAGCAGTGGGTAACTATCACCAAATCCCCCACCATGAGAAGCCACGACAGGACCAGACCCTGAGCAGAAAAAGACACAATGAGCACAAGTACCCAATCACAGGGTTCAATATATTAAAATGAACTAAGCACCAAACAAACACAGTAAATAGTAAATAAGTAAATTAAAGTGGTTCTCACCACTGGGGGTGACAGTAGCTCAGTTGGTAGAGCATTGGCCTTAAGGCCAGAAGGTCGTGGGTTCAATTCCCACCTCTACACCTTCTCCACCGACTCCCACTGATGACTGCTGTTGTTGTGTCCTTGGGCAAGACACTTAACCCCACTTTGCCCAAAGCCCCTGCTGGAAGATCTCAGCTCCTGTGGACTCACCACCCGCAGAGGATCAGTGAGGGGCTGGTGCTATGAGACTTGGGTGGCATCTCTGACTGCCACCCCCCTGACCCAGAAATGGATTAAAGGGTAGAAAATGGATGGATGGGTTCTCACCCCCGCTCCTCGGAGCTTACGTCACTCACATTTCCTGTTCAAATCTTCCTCTAAATGGGCGTAGCCTGGAGGACTGAAGGGGGCGTGAACGAGACTGGGCCGTTTATATCGCTCTGGGCGGGGGGCTGCTGACGTCAGGTCCAACTTGCAGACGTCAGGTCCAACTTCTGTGCCAGTGTTGGCGCCAGATTCAAAATTCAAATGTAGTAATACAGGTCGCCAGCAGATGGCGCCTCACAGACGGTTTTAGGCAGAAAGTTTAACTTTCAACTAATTTGCACCAAAGTGAAAAAACTATGACCAGGATATGTAGACAACACTATTGGACACTCATTTAAATCGTTTATCAGCAAAAAAAAGTGGATTTGAGGGTGAGTTGTCCTTTAAATAAAGAAACAACAAAAACAAAATTAAATGCCAATTAGACCCAAATAAAAACTGCAAGGCACTCAGCGCCTATAAGAACAAGAAAGAGTTAACACATGTAATTAATATTCCTCCTCTACTTGTAAACTGGCATTACCTAGTATGACTACACAAGAGCGGCTACGTCATAGCAGGCCGCCTCCTTTACACACGCAGCAGTCTGAGCCAGCGTCTAAAACACAAAAACGAGAACTGAGAATTCCACTAAAAATGAGGAGTACAAACTCACCTACCAGGCCTTCAGCAGTGAGAGGAATACTCGACCCAGGGACCACGATGGGCGCAAGTGGCACAGGGATGTAGCGTCAGTACGGGTGTCTGCTGTGTGTTTATATATGAGTGCTAATGTAATGGAATGCGGAAGTCTACGTACCGGCTTGGGGGGAATTCCCTCTACGGCGGCTCATTAGGGACAAACAACCCACCGGTTACATTCACCCCAGGGCTCTTGAATTGGCGGCCCGACAATACCACAATCTTATCGGCAATGTGTGAAGGTGGTTGGACAGCACTGTATCTAGGAGGTTATAGCCCTTGCCCTGCCTCTGCCCCTACATCTAGCTGGCAGATTATAAGGATTTGAATGCAGGCCAGCGGTCCTTCGACTGGACCTCCTAAGTGACGGGGGGTCAGAGTTCACTGGGCAACTCTGGTTCTCTTGAACTGGTGGATCCACCTCTGCTTCCACCGGAGTTCCGATGCAAGGTTCCTTTGCGAGCGGTCTGCCTGGAGCGTCACTGGCTAGCCAGAGGCCCTCCTCCTCAGGTTTGCTGTTGGTGGTCGCAGGGGATGTCCCTCTTCTCGTTTTGGGAGATTGCCACCTAGCAAGCACAGGTTTAAGCATGGTTCTATGGACGTGGCATACCTCAGTTTGTCTCTCTTGCGGGGCCACAGCATATACCACTCCACCGGGCTCAGGGGGCTTCACTACCAGGAATACTTCTGGGGCCCATGCGTCCTGGATTTTTGATCTTCCTCGGTGGGAGTGGTCCTGTAGGTAAACATGGCGGCACGGTGGCTGAGTGGATAGCACTCTCGCCTCTCAGCAAGAAGGTCCTGGGTTCGAATCCCGGTCGGACCAGGGCCTTTCTGAGTGGAGTTTGCATGTTCTCCCCGTGTCTGCGTAGGTTTCCCCCGGGTACTCCGGTTTCCCCTACCACTAAAAATATGTCCAATAGTTCTGGCATGCGCTTCCTGTACTGGCGACCCCGCTCCCATCTCTGTGTGGAGTGAGAGACAAATGCCCAAAAATTAACAATTGTAAACCGCTTTGAGACTCAGATCTGCAGTAAAAAGGCGGTATATAAATAAAAACTTACTTACTTACTAACTTACTTACTTACATGCTGTCCAACCGGCAAGATTTCCTCCTGCGCTTGCTTGTCAGCTCTCCCTTTCCGTCGTTCAGCAGCCGCCCGCATGTGCTCCCTAGCACTTTCTGTAACCACCTGCATCCCTCGTTGGTGCTCCCTGATCCACTGGCTGGATTCCCCGGGGATTGGGTCATTGAATTTACCCAACATGAAGTCCACGGGGAGCAGGGGCTCTCTGCCAAACATAAGGTGGTGAGGGGAATAGCCTGTTGACTGATGCAGAGTAGTATTGTAATTAAACAAGAGTTGGGAAAGATATTGTGGCCAGTGGCGCTTCTGATCAGCCGAAAGGGTTCAAAGAAGATCATGCAAAGTCCGGTTAAAACGTTCGCACTGCCCGTTCCCCTGCGGGTGGTAGGGCGTTGTCCTGGACTTTTTAATGCCATACAAGTCACAAAGTTGATATATGATGGCGTTCTCAAAACTGCGGCCTTGGTCTGAATGCAACCTCGCTGGGACTCCAAACTTGTAAAACCAGTGATTGACTAGAACACCAGCAACGGTGGCGGCACGCTGGTCCCGAGTAGGACGACCTGGGTAAACTTTGAGAAAATGTCTGTCATCACTAGCACTTGTTCTCTGCCATCCTGAGCTGGTTCTAAAAACGAAAAATCAATTGCCAGGATTTGGGCCAGAGGCCAATAGATGACCCATTGGAGCGCGTACCCGTGGCACTGTGCTCTTGGCCAGACAGCATCGTTCACACTGCAGGCACCAGTCACGGATTGTTGACCACATACCAGGCCAGTAGCAGCTCTGCCGTACCAGTTCAGTTGTGCGCTCAATACCCTGGTGACCGTGATGTGTATGCAACTGCTCAAAGACCTCTGCGCGAAGGCTCTCTGGCAACACCAGCTGTAGGACCTCCTCCCCTCCATCTGATCGTTGATAAGCCCGGTACAATAGTCCGTCTCGGGTGCGCAGCCGGTCTCACTGGCGTAGTAACTCTTGCAACGCAGGAGACCCTTGTCTTGTCGCTCGGTCAGGCTTGGCATTCGTTGCTGCTGAACATAGGGATGCACAAAAGAGATAAGAGGATCTGCTTGCTGTATGATTACCAAGTCACCGGGAGTTCGTTCCGGCAATGCAGAAATGGCGGATTGAACAGCCACCCTTTCTGGCCGTACTGCCTTGTCGACTTCCCCTGGGATTAGTGTACCTGGACGAGATGAAACTGGGGGGTGTGTTAGAGGTTGCCTGGAGAGGGCGTCTGCGTTCTGGTTGGTGCGGCCAGGGCGATACTTCACCACATAGTCAAAGACGGCCAGCTCTGCCACCCAGCGCTACTCCGTAGCCCCCAGCTTGGCCGTTCCCAGATGACTGAGGGGGTTATTGTCAGTCCACACTACACATTTGTTACTCAGCAGGTACTCACGGAATTTCTCTGACATCGCCCACTTCATGCCAAGAAACTCCAGTTTCATAGAGCTGTAGTTCTTTTCGGCTGGGAGTAGGCTGCGGCTGGCATATGCAATGGGACGGGTCTTGCCATCTTGTTCCTGGGACAGAACATCTCCTAGGCCTTCATGGCTGGCATCCACTTCTAAGATAAAAGGAAGGTTAAAATTTGCATATGCTAGCACCGGAGAGGACACCAACCTTGCTTTAAGCTCTCCAAAGCTGGAGTCACACTGTGGGGTCCACGCATCATTCAGGAACACACCTCGACCTCTGCGGTTTTTCTTGCCAGCCAGTTGTGCTACAACCCGGTGCAGGGGGGCCGCGAGCCTGGCAAAGCTTTCTACAAAACGCCTATAATAACTTGCAAACCCCAGAAACGAGCGGAGTTCGGCTACTGTGCTTGGGGTAGGCCATTTCTCCACAGCAGAAATTTTCTTTGGGTCCGTAGATACCCCAGCTGCCGACACGACATGTCCCAAGTACCCCACTTTGTTCTGGAAGAAACTACATTTGCCCAGTTTCACCTTGAGTGACTCTTTTTGGAGGCGACTGAGAACCAGCCTCAAGCGGTCAAGATGCTCCTCCACAGTGGATGAAAACACTATGACGTCCTCTAAATATAGCAGCAGCGACTGGCAGTTCTGGTCCCCTAGCAGCCTCTCCATTAGCCGTTGAAAGGTACTAGGGGCATTGCAGAGACCAAATGGCATCCTCTGGAACTCAAAGAGTCCAAATGGGGTGCAGAAGGCGGTCTTAGCTTTGTCTGCCTCAGTTTCTATGGTGGAAAACCACTTTGCACCCGAGAGAGCATCTAAGGACTCTTCAATTCCAGGAAGTGGGA